ATATATATATATATATATATATATCCACCAGTGTTTCTCATGAGTTAAGCATGTCATTTAGCTTCCTCTACTCTACTAGAATTGTAATAATAATTTGAATACCTGCTGCATTGATTCTCCCCACTTGATGCAAAGCATTGGTAATTGCCGACTTACCAACATTTGGAATCCCAATTAACATTACTGTAGCGGTATAATTATTGTCACATTGATCATCTCTCTTGAGTTCTCTCACTTGGCATTGTATAAGGCTTAGAAGCTAACTAAAAGCAAATATCCTTATTAGTAATTTAGTTCATGAACAAATATGACAATGCAAATAATTGCGCTCGTCATTCCATGGAAAACCTTTTAGAAACTGAGACAAAATTTGTCTCATTTTACCAATAGAAGCGTAGGAACTGGGAGCTTCAATACCAAATATAAAAAGTCACTAAGTCAAATAGAAAGCTCCAAAAGAAACCTCTAATTGATAGGTTGTGCTTACTGCTTAAAGGAGAACAAAGGACAAATGAGCAGCAGCAATACAGTAAAAATGATTCATTGATATGTTGTGCTTACTAATTAAAGAGTTAAACAGTTTCTCAGTACTATTCATGTGTGCTACAGACTAAACTACAGGTGCACCTTACAGAAACTTATTCAAACCAATTTAAACATGGTTGTAAACAGCAGTAAGATTCAAAATTAGAAACATGGTTCCATATGCTTTAACATTTTATAAACAATGCCAAAACTATGATAAAAAGACCATTCATTCCTGAGGCTCTTTGGTAGAATGCACAAAAAAGGAACAAACAGTTTACCTGTCTGATGTCCTCCTTGTTATGAGCATTGACTCCACAAGATATGCAATTCCTTTCGCTAAAATATTCCACCCATGCCTATTCACAAAAACCTTTATTAAAACAAACAAATCATTAACTAGTAAATATAAAAGTAATACAATTTCACTAATCTCTCGAAATAATTATCTAATTGAGTTTTGGTTAAACTCCGGTAATCAATTTGTTAGAATAGTTTACTGGTTTAACTACAAATTTGGTTAGCAAGTTAGACTACATGGCATTATTGATTACTCTACTTATCTTAGCTCTCCCTCGAGAGCTTCTATGTAGAAGCACATTACTAATTTGTTCGCACACAACTTTTCTCATTTAATTTAATTTTCTCTTATCACCACTTTCAATTTTCTCTCCTACCATGTTCTGCAACAATACACACTGAAAACCACATTCCAGAAGAAAAACGCTAAGGTACTCTAACAGCCCTATGTTATTTATTTATTTTATAAATTAATGTTTCAATTTTTAACCATACATGTTTGCTTTAATTTCAACATGTAACATGGATATAAAATTTAGAAATTTTGAACACATTAGACCAAAATGCAAAGACTAAAAACATATGTTCCCTCAAAAAGAAGCCCTACCTTCACATTCGATGCACCCGCAAGATCCATTTTATTGAGCGCTATGATTTGTTTCTGGGGAAGTGGGTAGTTTCTGAGTATCTCGCATTCGGAGGACAAGGGAATCTGAAAAACGAAAAGAATAGGAAAGTGTGTGAACAAGTTAAAGAAACGAATGATTGGTTAAAAAAAAGTGAGAAACAGACCCTTGCGTCTCTAACTTCGACGACGAGATTCGCCAACGGGATTCTTTCTGCGATAGCACGAAAAGCGGCAGCCATAAAAGAATCGCACCATTCTCCCTTACTTCTCAGCTCTTCCTTTAACACTGTGCCAATTCGTCTGCCCAAAATCGTCGTTGCCATGCTTCTCATATTCTCATGTCGCTGCCATGCTTCTCATGTTCTCATGAGGAGAATACACTATGAACAATCAGTGCAAAATTATTATTTTCAGTCCCTGCAAACGTTTCTCTCCATACCTCATTGAGGTTCAGCTCAGATTTTTGTATATTGAACTGAGAATAGGGATTGTGGTGGAACCTGGAATTGTCTTGCTTTTTGAGATAGAAATGTGGTCTGGAATTGAGGTGGGATTTCACAGAGTCGAGGCAAGAACAAGGGAGGCCAGGAAAAAAATTAAGATTAACATTTTTATAACCTAAAATCAATTTACACACATTAAATTAAAATGTTGGGAAAATTTTATAAGTTTTGTAAATTAATTTACGTATGATCAATTTTATATTTAATTTTATCTTTTTATTTTTATTTTTATTTTTATTTTTCTTTCCCAAGTACTTAATTTTAATATAATGATATAATCTTAATTTGATTGTTTACTTCGAACCCTTTTAATATTTAAACTTATTATAAAAATTACATTAAACTTAATTTAGTTTTGAAATTTTATCCTGTCTAAAACCAAATCTTTCTGTAAAGACATCTTGAGGGCAACTTCTTTCTTTAACATAAATTTTTCTCTCACCATATATCAAAAATTTTCATTTTAACTTTTTTATTGTACAATCCAAAAATAAAAAATTATCTTTAAATTATATAATTTAAAAATAATTTTTAACTTACAGATTATATAAATTAAAAATTATTTCTTCTTAAACAATTTATTTTTAAATTGTATAATCTAAAAATTAAAAATAATTTTCAAAAGTGAAAAAATATTAAAAAATACGTTTTTAATTGCATAATCGAAAACTCATTTAATTTTTGAATTACACAATTCGAAAATTATTTTTGTTTTTAAAAAATATTTTTAGGTTCTAAAAATAACTTGAATTATATAATAAAAAAGTGAAAAATAATTTTTTTTATCCGAGGTGTGGAAGAATTTATGGAGATAAAGAAAGAAACTACCCACGTTAAAGGATGAATGTCGCGCTAAACCCAAATTATACTAATTAAAAATGCTCATCGCTTTTCTCTAATATTATAAATAGAAAAAATTTAAAAGGTTAAAACTTTCATATGGTGTCCTCATACTGAAATATCAATTCAGTTCTCAGAAAATAAGTACTTTTCGTTAATTTGACTCAATTTTGATAAACTGAATTATATGATGAATTACGTGTCTAACTTTTTTTTGACAACCGTTTTAAAACATCTAGTTTGTGATTGGTCCGTTTTTCTTGCCTCTTTCTGAACTACACCACCAACACATTAGCAACAATTATCCCTTGGCGAAGCCCGTGAACAAAAACTCCTTTAAATTTTTCTCTAACAGTTGCCTTTTCCTTGGAGAAGCATTATCCACTCTTCACCACCTTCCCCAAAGGCATCCTCAACTTCCCAGTTAAGCGTCCTATTCTTATTCTACTGGAACAGAGATTTAAGCCAAGGAAGAGGCAAAGCCATTCAATCAAGTGGGTATAGCGCATAAAAGTCATGTTGCAGGCTCATTTCAAACAGAAAAGAACGAGTTAGTGGGCATAGATCGATCCATCATATTCTTTATCTATGGGAAAGAACTCCAAGATAGATCAATTGGTTTATTAATCACAGTACACCCCCATAATCCTTGTTGTTATTGTTGTGATGCGCTCACTAGGCCATGTGCGTGTCCGGTATTCATGAGTGTTCTAGAAATCATGTCAAGATCTTATGCAAGCGGCCCCACTTGACACTCATATAGGTGATTTCATCAAGTGTATGTTGCAAATCATACATCACCCATAAGGGATGAAGATCATTAAAACTTTGTTTAATTACAAAGTTTAACCTCTCAATAATGCAGTCTCTAGCACTTTCACACACACCATAAGAATGGACATATTTGATTTAAAATCAAATTAGTGCTATCAAAACTAACAAGTGACTTGTTTTTTCTCATATGAACCTTATTCATGGGATCTCCAATCACAAAAGTTGGGTTACCATCACTTGTTTGTTTACCAGTGACTTAAGTCTCATTACCCCTCGATGTTTTTAAGATCATATTTCTTCCCAAGGGTTTTACCAGAGGATCTGCTAGATTACGTTCTGACTTCACACAATCAATGGAAATAGTTTCACTCTTTAGCAGCTGCTTCACCAAATTGTGTCTCAATTGTATATGTCTATTCTTTCCATTGTAATTCTTGTTTTTAACTATAGTTATTGCCGATTGGCAATCACAGTGTATTGATACCGAGGAGGTTGGTTTCATTCGTAGTGAAATATTCGCTAAGAAGTTTTTCAAACACTTAGCCTCGTTATCAGTCATCTCAAGAGCAACAAACTCAGATTCCATTGTTGATCTTGCAATAATTGTTTGTCTGGCTGATCTCCATGTAATCGCACCACCCCCAAGTGTGAATACATAACCACTAGTGGATTTTGTCTCATCTGAATCAAAGATCCATTTAGTATCATTGTACCCTTCTAGTACAACGGGAAATTCACTATATTCAATGGCATAATCCATTGAACCTCTTAAGTATCTCATAAGCCTAACAAGTGCATCCAATGTTCTTGATTTGGGCATTGAGTGTACCTACTCAGTCTACCTACTGCATAAGCAATATCAGGTCTAGAAAAGTTCATCAAGTGCAGTAAGCTCCCAATTATTTGGGCATACTGAGACTGAGATAATGATTCTCCTCTATTTTTCATTAATTTAGAGTTAGCATCATAAGGGGTACTCACGNAGCATAATCCATTGAACCTCTTAAGTATCTCATAAGCCTGGAAAGAGCATCCCAATGTTCTTTATTTGGACATTGAGTGTACCTACTCAGTCTACCTACTGCATAAGCAATATCAGGTCTAGAAAAGTTCATCAAGTGTAGTAAGCTCCTAATTATTTGGTCATACTTAGTCTGAGATAATGATTCTCCTTTATTTTTCATTAATTTAGAGTTAGCATCATAAGGGGTACTCACGGGTTTGAAATCATAATACTCAAACTTCTTAAGAAGTTTCTCAATGTATTGTTCTTAGGATAGTAATATACTATCTCCCTTCCTTATGATTCTAACACCTAAAATTACACTAGCTTCGCTCATGTCTTTCATTTCAAAGCTTGATCCTAGAAACCTTAATTTTTAAATATTATCTGATTGCATGTGTCAATCATTAGCATGTCGTTCATATATAAATATATAAAGGCATATTCTCTACTTCCAGATTTAGAGTAATATCATTAGGTGAAAAGCCAAAGTTATTTCTTCAAGTAATTAAGTAAAATTACCTATACCCAGAACTTTAAATTATTTAAGATTCATAAACGAGAAAATACCTAGTTGTGCTTCTCTCATTTGTAGGTAAAGTATACGAAAAATTACTCAAGTACCCAGCCTCATCTTCTTTTTTTTTCTTTCTCTGGAGAGAAATCTTTTCCACCTTTCCTCAAACATTACAAAAGCACGACACATGAAAATTAGGATTCATCATCTAACTCCAACAAACTCCAATTTGTCGCCTTGTCTCCCTCTTCTTCATCCTCATCTGGGGTCCCTACAAATGCGATTAGAAGCCACCGTTGTTGCGAGCACCTTGTCAGCCTCCGAAAGTTCTTCTAGAGAAGACCTCAACTTTTAACACGCCCCGGAAGTGATTTTGAGAAGGACCGTCTGAGTTCCGGAAACAATGGTTTGGCCCTCTGAAGGCATGTTGTTGATGTCAGCCATAAGTCCTTAAGATTGTTGTAAAAAATGACAATAAAAGAACAAAGATCACGAATAAAGGATTTCCCTAGGCGTGTAGATCACTGTCCTTAAGGACTTATCCGCGATGTATTGCTAAGCCTCCTATGATACAACGAACTTCTCAGAATTTCCGAGGATCTCAGAACTAGCAAAGATCTCTAAAAGAGAATAAAATAAACCTAGAATATTTTTAGAAAAAGAAGAAAAAAGAAAGTATGAAACCAAGAAAAAAGAGAATAAAAGAAGAATGATTTTTTGATGATGTGTTTTGGGATGAGAAAAATACCCTATTTATAGAGTCCATGGATGAAGTCCATTACCTAAAATATGTCTTATAAATTTTATTTTTTTTAATAAAATAGAAAGTTACAAGCAAAATAAAATTGTTGCACATGATGATGGCAACAACACCTTGACAAATATCTCCAAAGCGTTGGAAGCATGCTTGCGATCCAAGTTCCAAACTCCCTCAGCATGATGACACGTATCTTTACAATATTATATTAATAAATAATAACAACATCTACACTCATTTAATGTAATTTTTATAATAAAAAAGTGAAAAATAATGTATTCAATAAATGTAAAAATGTATCAAAAAATATTTTCTCTTAAAGTTTTCACTATTATTAGTATTCAAACAATTAGTTTTAACTATTTAAAATAATGTTTATTTATGAAAAAAAATTTAACCACACAAAACAACCTCTGCAGAATAGCATATACTTATAGCGTAGATTAAAATTTATCTTTATTTAAAACTTTAATATGTTTTAATTTCAAATTTTAATAATAAATAGATATAAGAAAATAAGTAAAATATCAACGGACTATTTAACAAATAAAAAATTAACGAATTTAACAAATAAAATATTTAACATAATTAAATCAAAAAGTTATATCTATTTATTTTTATAATTTAAATATCAAAATACATTAAAATTTAGAAAAAAAGAAATTCTAAACATATTTAACCTGACAAAATCTACTGGATACGTTCCTCCCAGTCTTCCCTGTTGTCGTGTGTGTGCAGACAATCGGTTTTCCATGTTTGAAAATATCAAATAACAAGAATTAAGCATCACCCTTTTGGCCGAAAAACCGCACGCTCTTCAAAAACAAGCTCTTTCTTGTCCCAGTAATCATAAAAAGCATCATGTCCTACTAGGAAATGGATATGTCGGACTAGTTTTACAAATATTTGACCACAGTACATGAAAGGGCTCTTTCAGGCTAAAGTTATCTCCCTTAACATCCAAACTTTCTAAACTACATAGTCAAATTCTTATTCGTGAACTCCCAAGTAAGCTCACGAGACGCAGCCAAAGTTTGTAATTTCAAGAGTTAGGTTATAAAACATAATTCACATTAAATAAAACTAAACGAAATACACCTACTTCTACGTTATATATATTTCACATGCTTTTATTTATCTACCAAAAAGAAAAAGGAAAAAAACTTATTATCTAAGGAAATAA